CATGCTCTGAACATCTTTCCTAAATGATGTTGAGCAACGCAATGCAATAATTTATGCAGATTAATGTGGGAAATAAATTTTATTTTATTAAATTTACATATAAAAATGGTAGTATTTTCAGTTTTGTATTTTAGTACAAATTAATTAACATGATTTCTTGCTTTCAGAGTCAAATGCTTTTAATGTATAACACAGAAGGCATAAAAACATAAGTTTCGCCTTAATTAAATCAGACATTAATATTCGGCATAGAAAATAAATTAAATTAATATGCAGTACAGGTTTGCGCACGATGATTAATACTACGATTAATAGGTACGATTCAATATTAGCATTAAAATGCTAGTTAAATATTTTGAATGAAATCTTTACTTATTGATTGTCTTGATTGATGTGTAGGAATATTTCTTGGTAAAGCCGTTTTTTACCATTAAAAATTCTAAGAACTACTATGCGGTCTCCGGTCTCCGATTCGAATCAACACTGGCACAAAAGAGCAGCTACCATATTAATATATTTTACAATATTTTCTTTTAAAACCAAATGATCATAAATGTCAAAAATCAATAATAAGTGCTCAACAATAAGTTAGAAGTATCTATTTTTTATCTGTAGAGTGATTTCCCATTGTTCATATGTATTTTAGGCTTTTCATAAATGATTTTGTCTATGTCATTCACTGGGTTCTGCTTGCCTAATTCAGTTAAGTCCTTCTTAACAAAGATAACGACATACAAATCGATCTTACCAATTGTCGAAACCCTGAATACTTGAAGTGCGTCTGCGTGTCTGTCTGGTACATAATTTCTATGTCTGGCTGTTGCTTTTTCCACATATACTCGTGTATAATTATAAGAACGTTATTGTTGCGTGTTTTATTTGTGTCATACAAAATAATTTAGAAGCGCAGACACAACAATATAACGCATAACATTACTTATATAAAATTAGGTAGAAAACATTTTTCAAATAAAAAAAGTATTTGTATACTTTTTTATTCCGACATATATTTATGTATTTCATAGCTATTTGCTGTTATGCAACAGTGCACATTTTAAAATGTATCTTTTTTTCGTGGTACAAAACATCCCTAAAGGATTTTTGTCATATAGCTGTGTTTGACTATTATTTTAACCTTAGTGTCAGTTATGAACTTAAAATTTGTTTGAATATAATTTAACTTCCACATTTTGAGTGCCATAACAAGGAAATAAATATTAAAAAAATAAAAACTGTGCAATTTATACAGAATTCATTATTGATTTGAAAAAGTAAAAATTGGTTAATATCGATAGGTAAATAATAACAGTGGTTATTTGATTTAAAAAAAAAACGCTAAATAATTGTAAATACTTTTCAGATTTAGTTTTACGCTAGGTCCATCCATTATAACAAAAATATTAGGCGATAGAACGCCAATGGCAGATATTAGAAGAGATGTATGTAAGTAAAACATCAGAAAAAAAAATTATTATATGATTCTGTATATTCATTAACAACTCCATAGCAGTTCTTTTTGTGATGTTAAAGAACCATTTTTTTCATTTAATTATATATAGATTAAAGATTAGTTAAGCGCTGTAGCACTTAACCTTTTCAAAATGTGTTTTATTTATATATAAGAATATCTACAAGTAATGTAAATTCTCTTAAATATAATATCCAATATCATTAAATCATCGTCTGACTGGAGAATTGTTACTTACTCTGACAGCCAGGCTGTTCTTAAAGCTTTGACTTGCTTTCCAGTCGAAACAGGTCCTCGAGTGTTATGAGCTTCTACAGTTCATTGCAGTTCGGAATAAGGTAAATCTTTATTGGTTTCTAGGCCACAGAGGAGATATGAACAAGCTGACAAACTAGCTTCAACAGCATTAAAAGCTGCTTTTACAGGCCCTTAACACTTTTGTGTGTTAAACTGGACCAGTACTAAACAAAAAATTAAGAAGAGGGAAAATCGTTTGCGTCCGATGCACTGGGAAAATTTCCCAGGATTCAGACGAAGCAAATCACTGATCAAACCATACTCCTACAAAAACAATTTTAATTTTTAAAAACAATTCTAGATTGCTAACGGGTTTGATTACGAATCTTTATGGTCTGTAATATCACCTATATAAACTTCAATTATCTGCTAATTCGGAATGCAGATTATTCTTCGAAGGTGGCGAAACAAGTATGCATATTCTTAGTGATTGTCCAGCTTTAACAGTACAGAAAACACTTATTACATGTGGTATTTCTGTCACCAGATTAAGAGCTCTTCTTCAAATCTAATTCTAGATTTCTAGTTCTAGTCTACAAAGCTTTTAAGAACTTTGTGTAATTAAAGGTGAAACTGGTACAATAAGACTCTTTTCACCACAGTACCGACTGTTCTGTACAAAAGTTCTTTTTATGATTATAATAGTTTTAATATCTGACAAAGCTACTCTTGAAAATTATGCCCAAAGGTTTTTAATTTTATTATTTGTTTTTACTGTCGTTTGAACTTTAAGTGAATTTTTTAAAAGCCGATTTACAATCATAATGGAATACGAAGAATATTCCACATTTTTTTAAGGTAAAAATAGGTATTTGTATAAAAGCTCTGAAATTAAAAAAACAAAAATAGTAGGTATTCATATTTTTTTAAATTAATTCTTTTATTAAAATAATTAATTTTATTATATGGAATTAATACGTGAATAATTGTTACCATATTATTATACACGGTCGAAAATTTTAGTTTAAATTCTCAACCCTGTAAACTTTTTTAGAGTTTACATCAATATTTTCAAACTCTGAGGTTGGCTTTTTAAACCTACTGAAGTTTATAATTGGTAATATATAAGAAAATAAACTCTAGAAGTTGAATGCTTTAACTTTAAAGTTTAAATCGCAGAAAATAAACTGCGTGAGTTGATAACATAAACCGCAAGTTTTATTTTGAAACCATCAAGGTTGAGTTTTCAGACCCCAGAGTTTAAAATCAGCAAAAATATACGTATATAAAATATTTAAACCCGAAAAGTTTCAGTTTTTAACCCAAAAGTTGTGATTATAAACCTATTCAAATTTAAATTAAAACTGAAAGGTTTTTTCCTCGAATTTTTATTGCAGTTATACAGTTGTGTTTACATTAGTTCTTGGTTTTTCCACTTTTTTGCTCAGAAGAAATGCGCAAATGCAAAATGCATCAATTGTTCGTGATCGTTTGGTAAGTGCGCATGTAGTATCGAGCCGTGCGGGAGATATCTTAAAGTGTTTTTCGTTAAAGAAAATATATTTAAATATATTAAATTACAACGGAGCTTATCCCATTTTTGCGAAACAATTCAAAGTATTGTGGAGCAGTAAGTATACAAAATAATGCAAAACAAATTTGCTTTTTGAAAACTTCCTTTTATTTCAATTCACTTCATTTTTTCCCATTAGGAAATTTTTTTCTATCCTGATAATAATTCAGGTTACCTTCAGAGTCAACTTAAAAATCGTAACTTCAAAAGAAAGAAGTATGAAATAGAAGATTCAGAAGAACTGTGTGTTAGAAGGAGCACCACACAGCATAGAAAGAAGTTATTAGAGCAAAAAGTCAATATTAGAAATATATTTCCATTCTACTTTTTCGATCCCGAACTGGTTAGTAAAGTAAATTTGAAAATATGAAATGAAATTCTTATATGAACTCACTTTCAGATTTTACTTGATTTCTGTATTCAGTTTCCACAAATCACCACTCAGCGTACAAAAGCTTGGCAAGAAGTAGAAAAAATAGTGCTAACAGTCTTCGCATCAAAAGGGATACAAGATTGCTTTCTTGAAGGTATCTGGTCTTACCCACTTCCATTATTTTTTATAAATGAAATATAATTTTATAAATTGAATAAACGATAAATAAAATATTTTTTTAAACAAAATATATTTTATTTCTCCTATTTCATTTAAAGGGTTAATATAAGAATAAACCTTCAGTTTAAAATTAAGAGTAAAGGGTTTAAAGTTTATACTCTGAAGTTTTTAGTATAAACTTTTGAGTTTAAAAATAAAAACCGATATGTTTTAATTTTAAACCTTAGAGCTTTAAGAGTGTGTCGAATTTTAGACTTTCGGTTTAAAATTTAAACCGAATAAGTTTTAAAAATAAACCTATTAGTTTTGAAAATCAACCTCAGGGTTTAGAAGATGTACATAATCAGTGTTATGTACTTCTTTTTAAACTGAACGGTTTAAATTATAAACTCATTTAAGTTTGGATAAATATAAAAACCCTCTGAGTTTTAAATTTAAACGAAAATTTTCGACCGTGTAGTATGGTAACTGCGTCGTATAGATGCTGATTATCCTGTGTTTTGATAATCGCTTGACGCATAGATGAAGATTTTCACATAATTATGAATGTCATAACGTAATTAATACATTATTATTAGGTTAGGTAGGTTAATTTAGGTTATACCGGCGATCCCTAGGAGATCTACTTAGGTCTATTGGTCCATTGTGTTACCGTATATAGAGAAAAACTTAGGATTTCAAAACACCTAGAAACTTTGGCGAAGTTTAAAATTCTGTTTAGTGTCAGGTCTTGTAATTGATCAAGATTTTACAGAAAGAATGGGGACTCCTTAAGTGTTTAGTCGCAGCCGTGTATGAGATGGGGAAAAAAAGAGTAGATGACAGGCACTCTTATCGTCTTTCCATACAGCTGCGAAAGGTATGATTAAAAGGGAGATTCAATCTTCTAGCATGGTTTCCTAACTTGCACTAACTTAATTATTAATGTAATTCATTAATAAAATTCATTAATTTAATTCACATTTAAAATTCATTAAAATAAATATTTAAACCATTAACAAACACATTGTTTTCGTAGTCTTGAACGAAACTTAAAAACAAAATTGTGCCCATTCAGTAAATTTTATTATATACTTATGTGATTTGTATTACTCGTACAGTAATTTGATTTTCATACATATATAGAGGCATTTACGCAGTGAACTATAGACTTTTCCCTTTTTTCTTACCTGTTTTTATATTGACATTTAATGCATCAGTAACTAGGCTACAGCTACGCCCTTTATACCCATATCATTTGTCTGATAAGCTGCAATATAAAAAGAAAAGTATTATCAGTAAACGCACATCTAAGTATTCCTAGTTCAAAAATAACGTGAATTTATGTAGTTCATTCTTAAATAAATAAAATTTGGATAGTGTTAATGTTTTGTATGGTGTGTAGTGTAATCAAGAACGTTTAATCTAAATTGTAAAAGTGGTACGAGTAGAATTTAGACACCACTTGGTTACCTTGGCTGACTTTTGTGGGAATTTTTTTATAAGAGTATTTTTAAATATTCTGCAAAACTGAATGTATACAAATTCTGTTATAGTTTTCTACCCTAATTTTATATAATACTTTCCTGCAACAGTAGACATTAATTTTGCATTATTTGGTTTCGCAATGCGCTTAGCAACAAAATGCAAACTCAAGCAAAAATTCAATCTTCTAAGATACAAAGCCCACTGCCATCTCTGCATGTTGCGCATGCTTATAATTCTCAGTAGCTGTTCGCAAGATATACATATATATATGTATATATAACTATTAATATACATAAATATAAAGCTGTTTTTTGTATCTTACTGTACGGTTATGGTTATGTTTGGTTTTGTGTAGGGAATAGTATGCCGCTAGGAATCTGATTGTCAGTTGCCAAGTGATTGTGATTGTGATGTGTTACATTTTGCTTTCCTTCTTTTTAAGATGACAATGTGAATTGTATGAATGAAAATCTTTTTGCTGGGCATCGTAGAGGAATTTTTATTTTTATGCTTGTCTTTTCTATGCTTAATATGTTTTCTTTTGTCTGTTGATACCGGGGCTGCAGCTATTGTTCTGCAGATCTTCAAGTGTTTATACAAACTAATTTTGTGTATGTTTCATTTTTCGGCAATTTTGCATTTTTAACGTATTATTTTGCTGATTGTAGAATTAAAATGTTGCTTTAAAATTGTGCCATGTCAGTATGCATACACAATTACGATTATAAAATTATTTAAAACAAAAATTATAACAAAGCCATTTCGCGTTTCCTTTCAAAGATTTCTTTTTGACGATAATCTTCAAGAAAACATCTGTTACTTTCTTGATTTTTCTTCCACTTTTATTCTGCAATTGTTTGTTAAACTTTTAGTTACGGTTTGTTACCAAGATTTGTTGCCTAAATTTCAATAATTATCTAAGTAATTATTTTTAGTACAACTGAAAATTTGTTTTGGTTCCAACTGAGAAGATTTTAAGTACTTAATATTATATGCAGTTAGTTTAAAAACATTTTTTTAAGCATATGTTGAAGTATACCTGCAGATATTCATTTAAGCAGTTAAAAAAAATAGAGATAGAGATATAAAAAACACTTGTTTGATAAAAAAGTTTTGTAAGACTTTAAGGGGAGTGGATTTTTTAAAACAATTTATCAAATTGAATTGGTATTACTACTTACTAGATAGGTAAAACAGGTTGGCCGAAGCAATTTATAGACATAGTGCAGTTCTTGAGCGTAAGTATTAATTTTTGAGAGATCGCTTAACCTATTATCAGACTTAACGAAGTTTAGTCTATACTAGTCAACAGGTTGTCTCTAGTAGCTAGCAGCTAGTCTTTAGTAACTAGTGTTTAGTAGCTAGTCTTTAGTTACTAGTAGCTAGTCTTTAGCAACTAGTATTTAGATAAGATTAGATTTTAAAAGGGGTGGGAACTGGTCACTGCATACTTTGAGGATTATTGTAGCAGTTAAGAACGCCATTATGTCATTTGGAGAGTTGTTGCCTAATTCCGTTATAAATGGATACGCAGTTGATAATTACTAAAGTGTGAGTCTGATGAGACTATCACAGTGACACAGAATGTTTCCTCTTCTTTGTAACAAAGTCTGCAGCTATAGTCTCTAGTAATACCTAGTTTCGATAGATGCTTTATTAATTCGCTATACCCAGTGAGAAACCCTGTGACAAGTCAGATGCCACTTCTGTTCAGCATTAGAAGTTTTCCAGTTCTGGCTTTTGATCGATTCGGCTAGTAGCTAGTCTTTAGTAACTATTATCTAGTAACTTAACTTAACTCTAGCGTAACTTAACTCTAGTATTTAATAGGTAGACTGTAGTATATATATATTAGTTTATATATATTAGTCTATAGTAGCTCCAAAGAATTTTAGTCAATTATCATATTATTATAAATATAGGAACATAATATTATTAATAAATTATTTATTGCACTATTAAACTTATATTATCATATCAATATAATATGATATATTTAAATTTTATTATAAATATAATTTTTCAGTATTAGTGCGTTTATTCTTACTCTCGTTGAAATTAGTATGAATGTCGTGATTTTATATTAATGGATATATTTTTTGGGATCCCCCAATTTCTTGGTATCAATAAATTTGACGTGTCTAGAACCTTTACCGTTGCTATGTTGGTGGTTTGAAAGTTAGAACTAGAATTGAATGAATTCTGTATTACAATGAAAGAGAAACATAGTTATAATCTAAGCATATCTATTAATAGTCAAAAATGGCTCAAAGTAAAATCTTGAAGGATTTTCTTGTAAAAAATTAATTGAAAAGTTTCCTAATTGAGCAATTCTTATTTTCAATCATCAATGTTTTTTCCTTGTTAATGTTTTTGTATAGTGCTTTCAAGATTAATATGAATGATAACCATAAAAAGGTTTTTTCAAACCAAACATAGGTAAGAGAGAATGAATGTTCCAACAAGATTATGCACCATCTAATAACGGCTAAGAGATGACGTTCCACATTTTATTTCGAATGAGTAATGGCCTCCAAAGTCAGTAGATGCAAACCATGATTTTCGGCTATTGACGGTTTGCAAGCTAAGATCAGTGCTAAAAACTAGCAATGTTTTGAATATCATAAAGAAAGTAGTTGTTAATAAATACATAAAGATTTCTTAGGTTCATATTCGACTTGTTGCTGAGCAATTCAGAGGCATGGTTCGCTTTATCCAGAAATCAAAATAAATAGGATTAAGTCGGGTCTATAAAACTTAGTTTTAAAAAAGAAATATTCGATATTCTAACATATATAATATATACTATATATAAAATAATTTGAATAAAAAGATTTCTATTTATTTTTATATTTAACTTAAATTTTTTTTATAAAAACTTTAATGTTACAAAATATATTAACAGCTATTGCAGATATTTCTCGTTGCACATTAATTTGAAATTAAAATGCATTATCACTTCTTCTATCAGATTCTTCCGGCAGCCTATCAACCTGGAGATTTACTCCGCAATCATAACGGAACTAAATTTTAATGAATGCTATTTTATAATTTAAATGATCATCAAGACTTAATGACAGATAAGGTAACTACATGTTTTAAATATAAAAAAAAAAAAAATTATATTTAAATAAAAATATATTGAAATAAGCTGTTTAACTGGAGGAATTAGTCACAATCTTGTCTTGGGAGTAAAAACATTTCATTGCAATTAAACATTTGCACATGAGTTAATTGTAGATTCATAAGCTGCGAAAACAAGCTTAAAAATATTGGAGAAAAATCTTAATATTGGTAGGTATAGTAGATGTAGCTGAAGCTGATGCTTAAAGGAATTTGTGTTATTTTCCATATTTACGAAGTGAGAAACTCAGTTTACCCCGACCCACATCACCAAGTCTCTAGTTGATCTGGTTGTTGTTTTGATTTTGTCGTTGTGAAAACTTGTTCGGCTTGATTGACCGTGATTTCAAGTCGTGAATACTTGTTGGCGGCGTTGCCTCCAGTTTGTGCCATATAAAATGCGCTTTAAGATTTAAGTTGTGATACTCTTATTTTCTTATCTTATTTATAAATAAAGAAAATAAATATATCCAAACAAAATTACGTATATAGTATATACAAAGCTGTTTTCAATATACACGAATAACAAGAGTTGAAGCAGAAGCATGTCTGCTTGACTGTGATGAATGGTATTCACATGAAGGCGTCTGTGAATTTGCAACCACAGCTGAAATAACCTCTGCCTGTAATAAAATACCAGACAATTCGACAGATATTCGCTGTGACGTAGTACACGCAGTGTTTCTATAGACAATTTTGCCCGCATAAATCAATTTAGTCTTCTTATTTTTCTGCTAACTTGCTCAAGACTCACAGAGAACCCATTGCTCGACAGTTACACGTTGCTTCATTTTAAACAACAATGCCGGCGTTGAACGATCTTTAGCTTATTTCGCATTTTTCATTGATGACGATTTGCGAATGGTTTCTTTTGTATATTTGTGCATACCCATATGTGCATATGTACTTCAGTTCAGATTCACACATATTTTTTTTGTTTTACCAGTAATTAAAGCGACTGGAAATATTTTGCTGAAGATGTACAAATTTACAGTTTTCAGAATATATAAATCTATTTCAATAACAATTGTAGAGATATAGGAAGTAATATTTTTATAAAAATAGCAAAGAAATAAACTAGAAAAAAATATTTAGTACATTTACCATCAACAAAATGTATATTTATTAAATGTTAGAGACTATTTGCTTACTTATTATAATATATTTAAATGAAACATTTATTAAGAAAACTAAATACATGATTTGAGGAACACACCTATCTCAAATTGGTACTTAGCGAAAACAAAGAAAATCATCTAATACTTAAGATCAAAATCATGTTTCGTGAGCAAAAAATGCGTATGTACAAAATCTTACCTATATCTGGATCCACTGTATCCAATGGATTTAAAAACTGGACGTTGAAAAGTAATGCCAGAACTACTTAAACTATTTCGTCTAGGACGTTTGTATGGACTATGCAGTTAATTTCAAATGTCACATTCTACATAACGGTCTACTGTCAGAACCATTTAAAGTTCATACTGTAGAGCGACAGAGATGTATTTTGTCGTCACTCTTATTCATACTCTGCCTAGATGAAGTTATGCGTGCTTTAATGCCTGGAAAAAGTGGAATGCCGTGGACACCTCTCGCATATCTTAAGGATCTTGAATAGAGAGACGACGTATGTTTAACATAAATTGAGCGATT